CCTCCTCCTCCTCCTACCCCCCCCCCCTCCTCCTCCTCCTCCTCCTACCCCTCCTCCTCCCCCTCCTCCTCCTCCTATCCCCTCCTCCTCCTCCTCCTCCTCCTCCTCCTCCTCGTCCTCCTCCTCCTCCTCCTCCTCCTCCTCCTCCTCCTCCTCCTCCCCCCTCCTCCTCTTCCTCCTCCTCCTCATCATCATTTCTCCTGCTCCTCCTCCTCCTTCTCCTCCTCCTTCTTCTCCTCCTCCTTCTCCTCCTCCTCCGTCCCTCCTTCCCTCCCTTTCTTTTTCTCATTTCCCTCCTTCCCTCCTGCGTTCTCCCGTTTCCCTCCTTCTCCTTCTCCTCCTCCTCCTTTTCCTCCTTTTCCCGCTTTTCCTCCTCCTCCTCCTCCTCCTCCTCCTCCTCCTTGTCCTCCGTCTGCGGGGGGGGGGAAGGGCAGCCGATGGGGCCTGTAGCCACCAGCGGCGCAGACCGCCAGCGTCGTCGCCGCGATCTCCTGCCTCCGCCTCCTGTCCTCCGGTCCGTTCTGCCTCCGCAGCCAGTCGAAGCCGCCGTCGTGGCCTGGGCAACTCCGGGGGGGCACGGGCGGGGGGCAGAGCAGGGTCACGGTCAAGCCCGTGCGCCGGAAGGCGAGCCCGTGAAGGGGCGCAGGCGGTGGCAGTCGGCAGCGTGCTAATACACGCGCGCGCCACGATCCAAGGAAAACAGTACGGGCGTCTGAAAGGGGGGGACCCATTCACATGGCGTTTTCATTGAGAATGGCAGCCACAATTCTGAAAGTCCGTGGTTCTGAGATTCTGAAAGAGGGGGGCAGAGCAGAGGGCAGAACATCCTCCCCCACCATAATCACCCCGACACGCGACGCCGTGTGGTAAACGCACCCACTGAAGGAATCGAATAGGGCGGGGCTGTTCAGTAAACGCCCTGGGCTATTCAGCAAGCGCCAATTATCGTTAAGTCGGGTCTGTCCCCCTATAGGGGGATTTTGGGTGATTTTTACCTAACAGCGTTTGCTGATAGGTTTCTAGTAGGCTCAAACGAGAGCAGCAGATGACTCCACAGGGGGGTCGGGGCGGCATCCGGGGAGCTGTGTCCGAACTCGTTTCCGAATGCGCTTTTTGCAAACAGTCACACACTTCGTGCTCTTCGACCTCCCAGAACTCCATTCCCCGGCCACATTCTGAATGCCTGGAACCAACTGTAAGCCACTTCGTGCTCTTCGACTTCCCAGAACTCCATTCCCGGGCCACATGTTGAATGCCCGGAGCCAACTGTAGGCCACTTCGTGCTCTTCGAGTTCCCAGAACTCCACTCCCGGGCCACATTCTGAATGCCCGGAGCCAACTGGAGGCCACTTCGTGCTCTTCGAGTGCCCAGAACTCCACTCCCGGGCCACATTCTGAATGCCCGGAGCCAACTGTAGGCCACTTCGTGCTCTTCGAGTGCCCAGAACTCCATTCCCGGGCCACATTTTGAATGCCCGGAGCCAACTGTAGGCCACTTCGTGCTCTTCGAGTTCCCAGAACTCCATTCCCGGGCCACATTTTGATGCTGATGCAGGCTGAGGCTGAGAAGGCTGAGGCTGAGGCTGAGGCTGAGGCTGAGGCTGAGGCTGAGGCTGAGGCTGAAGGCTGAGGAGGCTGAGGCTGAGGCAGGCTGAGGCAGGCTGAGACGCTGAGGCAGGCTGATGCTGAGGCAGGCCAGGCTGAGGCTGAGGCTGAGGCTGAGGCGGATGCAGGCTGATGCTGAGGCAGGCTGAGGCACAGAGGCTGAGGCTGAAGGGCTGAGGCTGAGGCTGAGGCTGAGGCTGAGGCTGAGGCAGGCTGAGGCTGAGGCAGGCTGAGGCTGACTGAGGCTGAGGCTGAAGCAGGCTGAGGCTGAGGCTGAGGCAGGCTGAGGCTGAGGCTGAGGCTGAGGCAGGCTGATGCTGAGGCAGGCTGAGGCTGAGGCTGAGGCTGATGCAGGCTGAGGCTGAGGCAGGCTGAGGCTGAGGCCGAGGCTGAAGGCAGACTGAGGCTGAGGCTGAAGCAGGCTGAGGCTGAGGCTGAGGCAGGCTGAGGCTGAGGCTGAAGCAGGCTGATACTGAGGCAGGCTGAGGCTGAGGCAGGCTGAGGCACAGAGGCTGAGGCTGAAGGCAGACTGAGGCTGAGGCTGAAGCAGGCTGAGGCTGAGGCTGAGGCAGGCTGAGGCTGAGGCTGAGGCAGGCTGATACTGAGGCAGGCTGAGGCTGTGACTGCGACTGCCGCTGCCACTGCGACTGTCATCGCGAATGCGACTGCGACTGCGAGAACAGCAGAACTCTACAACTGGATTATCATCTGAATCTTAAGGGGAATGCTTCCATATATGCTTCTACACATCGCTGTTAGGTTGCGTTGCCGGGATAATGTTTATCAAGAAGAATCAAACATTGTCCCCAGAGTCTTATCTATATATATATATTTATATATATATATATATGTTTAGAAAAATTAGCCTGGCGAAGGACCCAACCATATGCAGTTGTGAATGCCGCAATTGTGCTGGGTGGTGGCGGACGCATGCGGGCGGTGCCACTGGGACCTTCGGTGGAGCTCCCTCCCTATGGGGCCACGAAGCGCTGTTCTGGGTGGGTGAGACGCGGTCAGCAAGGGCTGTGCTGCGTGGTGGCGGACGCATGCGAGCGGTGCCACTGGGACCTTCGGTGGAGCTCCCTATGGGGCCACGAAACGCTGTACTGGGTGGGTGAAACGCAGGCAGGGAGCAAGGGCTGTGCAGGGTGGTGGCGGACGCATGCGGGCGGTGCCGCTGGGACCTTTGGTGGAGCTCCCTATAGGGCTACGAAGCGCTGTTCTGGGTGGGTGAAGCGCAGGGAACAAGGGCTGTGCTGGGTGGTGGCGGACGCAAGCGGGCAGTGCCACTGGGACCTTTGGTGGGGCCCCCTTATGGGGCCACGAAACGTGCGAGGGGTGTGCCAGAATGGGGTGTGGAACCGCATGCCAGCGCAGCCACTGGGGCCTTCGGTGGAGACCCCTATGGAGCCACGAAACGTGTGAGGGGTGTGCCGAAATGGAGGGTGGAACCGCATGCGAGCGCAGCCACTGGGGCCTTCGGTGGAGCTCCCTATGGGGCCACGAAACGTGTCAGGGGTGCGCCAGAATGGGGGGTGGAACCGCATGCGGGCGCAACCACTGGGGCCTTCGGTGGAGCTCTCTGTGGGGCCACGAACCGTGTGAGGGGTGTGCCGAACTGGAGGGGGGAACCGCATGCCAGCGCAGCCACTGGGGCCTTCGGTGGAGACCCCTATGGAGCCACGAAACGTGTGAGGGGTGTGCCGAAATGGAGGGTGGAACCGCATGCGAGCGCAGCCACTGCGGCGTTCGGTGGAGCTCCCTATGGGGCTACGAGACGTGTGAAGGGCGTGCCGAAAAAAAGGGGTGGAACCGCATGCGAGCGCAACCACTGGGGCCTTCGGTGGAGCTCTCTGTGGGGCCACGAACCGTGTGAGGGGTGTGCCGAACTGGAGGGGGGAACCACATGCGAGCGCAGCCACTGGGGTGTTCGGTGGAGCTCCCCATGGAGCCACCCACGAAGCGTGTGAGGGGTGTGCCGAAATGGGGGGTGGAACTGCATGCGGGCGCAGCCACTGGGGCCTTCGGTGGAGCTCCCTATGGGGCCACGAAACGTGTGAGGGGTGTGCCAGAATGGGGGGTGGAACCGCATGCGGGCGCAGCCACTGGGGCCTTCGGTGGAGCTCCCTATGGGGCCACGAAACGTGTGAGGGGTGTGCCAGAATGGGGGGTGGAACCGCATGCGGGCGCAGCCACTGGGGCCTTCGGTGGAGCTCCCTATGGGGCCACGAAACGTGTGAGGGGTGTGCCAGAATGGGGGGTGGAACCGCATGCGGGCGCAGCCACTGGGGCCTTCGGTGGAGCTCCCTATGGGGCCACGAAACGTGTGAGGGGTGTGCCAGAAGGGGGGTGGAACCGCATGCGGGCGCAGCCACTGGGGCCTTCGGTGGAGCTCCCTATGGGGCCACGAAACGTGTGAGGGGTGTGCCAGAATGGGGGGTGGAACCGCATGCGGGCGCAGCCACTGGGGCCTTCGGTGGAGCTCCCTATGGGGCCACGAAACGTGTGAGGGGTGTGCCAGAATGGGGGGTGGAACCGCATGCGGGCGCAGCCACTGGGGCCTTCGGTGGAGCTCCCTATGGGGCCACGAAACGTGTGAGGGGTGTGCCAGAATGGGGGGTGGAACCGCATGCGGGCGCAGCCACTGGGGCCTTCGGTGGAGCTCCCTATGGGGCCACGAAACGTGTGAGGGGTGTGCCAGAATGGGGGGTGGAACCGCATGCGGGCGCAGCCACTGGGGCCTTCGGTGGAGCTCCCTATGGGGCCACGAAACGTGTGAGGGGTGTGCCAGAATGGGGGGTGGAACCGCATGCGGGCGCAGCCACTGGGGCCTTCGGTGGAGCTCCCTATGGGGCCACGAAACGTGTGAGGGGTGTGCCAGAATGGGGGTGGAACCGCATGCGGGCGCAGCCACTGGGGCCTTCGGTGGAGCTCCCTATGGGGCCACGAAACGTGTGAGGGGTGTGCCAGAATGGGGGGTGGAACCGCATGCGGGCGCAGCCACTGGGGCCTTCGGTGGAGCTCCCTATGGGGCCACGAAACGTGTGAGGGGTGTGCCAGAATGGGGTGTGGGAGGGGGAGGAGGGGGGAGGAAGGGGAGGAGGAGGAAGGAGGAGGAGCGCGGGGCAACGTCTCTTCAAAACGAGGACCCAACACCACAGAATGGTTGGGGGAAAAAAACCATTTTTGAATATCCCTCCTGTAGAGGGACAGGCCCGACTTAAAATTATCGGGCCCGGGTGGTTTTTCCACCCTTGACAGAGACCTCTGGCGACCCGCAGTAGCCACGGCGGAGTTCCTTTCGTGATCTTCGGTCCCCAGGGAGCCTCTGTCGGGCCTCCGAGGCCGTCAGCAAAATTACTCGGATGAAGAGCTGGTCCGGTGGAGTGGACCGGGTTGGAAGTCAGAGGCCACATTGAGAACCTTATTTGCCCCCACTGCCATTCGACCTGAACCAGTAGGATGTCACCAGTGGGGGATTAGGCACTGCGAACGGACGAGAACGAAGTTAACCCCTACCAATGAACCTCTACCAGTCGATATCGATCGATGGGAATTGGGGGTAAGCTCAGAATTCTTCACTGAAGGTGACCGGGAACAAAAACTCAGACCTGTGCTGACTCGGATCTATCAACGCACGAATGATACAACATTGTTCGGCGTCTAGGAACCGCTTTTGGACCCCAGGGGTGACGCAAAACGGTCCGTGGCAAAAACTGATCCCTGGGACCTGGGCAGGACTTCCCGGGACTCAATACCCAAGAAAAATGATGACCTCGTAGGCCTGGAGAGCAGAAGGTGTGTGCTCAGGTTTTCAGGCGTCGGACCTCCCTTCTCGAACCCGACTCGTCCTCATCACCCCCTCCCTCCTCCTCCTCCTCCTCCTCCTCCTCCTCCTCCTCCTCCTCCTCCTCCTTCCCCTCCTCCTCCTCCTCCTCCTCCTCCTCCTCCTCCTCCTCCAGCGAGCGAGAGCCCCCCCCCCCGCGGGTCGTCTGCTCGCTCCCCCGAAAGGTCCAAAACGGGCGGAGAAACTTCCAAGAACCATCGACCCGGAGGCCTCGGGAGCTCGCCCGATGCCTCCGGAGGCCTTTCCTTTCTAGGGGCTCCCGAGGCACACACAAGAGGGGCAAGCGAGTCAGGAAGCACTCCTGCCTCCTCCCCTCCCTCCTCTCGGGTCGGGCGAAAGGGGGGGATAGCAAAGGGGGGGTTTGAGAATCAGCTCACGTAGCTGATTTTCCCGGCGCCTCCCGGCGCCGGGAGCGGCCATGTATCGAGGAATTGGCCCCTCGGTGAGGCCGAAACCAGCTGCATGCAGCAAATTTCGTAACCCCCCCTTTCCTAATCCCCCCCTTTCGCCCGACCCGATCCTCAGGCCTCCGATGACTCTGGCGTCGTGGTGTCTCAACGCGTGGCCTCCCCAGCCTCTCGCCCCTCTTCCTGGGGGCGCCCCGCGACCCTGCCGCTGGACCGGCGCCCCTCCTCCGGCGGCGACGACGACGGCGACACCGGCGACGACGGCGACGGCGACGGCGACGACGGCGACTAAATTCGTCGGGAAGCCAGCGGCCGGCGGCGGCCCACGAAGAGGCGAAGACGGCCGAGAGCGCACGTCGTCGGACCTCGATCCTCGAGAGGGCCCGTCGAGGCAGCGGCGGCGGCGGCGGCGTCGACCTCTGGGCTTCGGTCGGGCACGTCCTCCTACTGGCGGATTTTGGACGAAAAAGAATCGAGACCCCAAAAATGCCCAACAAATGCAAGAAATACTATAAGATATAAAAATCGTCCCTGGACTATTTTTGAATATTCCCCCTGTCGAGGGACAGGCCCGACTTCACTCTGGGCGCGCCTGCGGGGACCATCCCCGCGCCGGTCTCGCTGAGCATCCGGGGGGCGTCGGAGGACGCGCGCGCCCTCTCGGGGGCCGCCTGCGGTGCCATGGGCGTCGTCGTGGTCGCCGTCTTCGTGGTCGACGTCGTCGTTGTCTTGAACGTGGTCGTGGTCGTGGTCTCGGTCGTGGTCTAGAAAACAGAAGATCCACCCCGATAATAACCACCCCGGCACGCGAAGCCGTTTAGTAAACGCACCCAAAGGAATCAAACAAGGCAGGGCTGTTTAATAAACGCCCAAGGCCGCTTAGCAAACGCCAAGTATCCGGTCCGGGTGGTTTTTCCTCCCTTCGTCATCGTCGTCGTCGGCGGCGTCTTCGCCCCCAGCCGTTCGAGGATCGACGGTGGAGAATCTAAGGTTTGGGGCCTTTCTTGCTCTTTTGGGGTTCCGGGGCCGCCACCAAGGCGATCGTCTTCGTCTCTCCCCCTCCCCCTCCCGCACCTTCACCTCACACCTTCCACCCTCCCTCCCTCCCTCCCTCTTCCTCCTCCCCCTTCTCCTCCCTCATCATCCTGTTCATGCATCCTTCCTCGTCTCCTTCCTCCTCCACATCCCTCCTCGAGGCCTCCCACTTCTCTATCTGTATGCCGATCGATCTGTCGGGTACAGCACGGCCCAAGCTCCTGGCGCATCTTCGACAACCACTTGGAGAACCACATGGAGAACCATCGGGAGAAACATCGGAACAACCACAAAACAACCACAACACAACCATGGGAACACCATCGGACTCGGACTCGGACTCGGACTCGGACCTGCACACCACAAGCCGGCGGATGCTCTGCAGGCGGTCTTTGCGCCGGCCGGTGGCGGCGTCCCTGTGTACATGTAGGGGAGGAAAAGAAGACGCCCGAAGGGAGAGAGGGAGGCACGACAAACGAAGACGAGAGGCGAGGCCGCGAGAGAGAGGGAGAAAGGGACGACCGACAAAAGGGACGACGAGTGAAACGCGAGCGAGAGCATCTGAATGGCGCTGCGAAGATGAGCAGTACCCTATCTACTGACACAATTGCCCTCTAGCGTTCCCCACGCTTCGCTTTCCGCAAAAGCGAGCCACTCGTGTTCAGTACGGCTTCGTTCAAATAGAACTGGATGTCGCAAAACTTCTGGCCATCGATAGTTCGGGTCACCTGGGATTCGGCGAAGATCAATCGAGGTCAGCCTCCGGATTCCACAACAATGCCATCCAATGTCTGTTGTCTGGCGTAAGAACCTTAACGATCCCTGTTCTATTTTCGTCATCGTTGAGCAAATACCCCATCTGATACTTTGTACAATGTGAAGATTTGTTTCTCTTTGTTGCTTGCTTTGCGGATCCACTCTGCCCAAGGCTCCAAGCCGCCGTTCGTCGCACTCACGAGCTGTGTGGTCTGGGATCTGTTCGTCGTAGGCGGAAGCCGCCGAACTGTCAGGTCTGCAAAATCATGCGGAACATTTGCCTCTGTACCCTGCGCAATTAATTCTCTATTCCGCAATCGCTGTCGTTGTCCAAAACAACAACTAAATCATACTCTGGGCGCGAATGTTGCGTGAAGTATCCGCGTCCTGCTGCTGAGCGAATAGAATTTCCCTATCAACTCTTGTCGCCGCGCAAAAAAACTTTCACCAACCTGCAGAGATTCGGCCCGGCGCTAGCCCCAGTGTGTGAAAGCAACGTCTAAAGGTGAATTTCCGTCCCGATAATTCTGTCGACGTGGAGGTCGACATGATGCCCCTCGACGTAGTACCATGTGCCACCGTATGGCTCGGTACCTTGCGCCTGCGTGATCTTTAGTTCCCATTATGCAGAATCTTAGGTTTCTCCGAATGTGGGAAAAAACAGATTTCGCGGCTTCAACACTGCGGTCGCAAATCATTCCTGTGATGTGCCCCAGCGAGCATGCCACTAGTATGGTATGATATCGTCGGCCAAACGGAGGTTAGTGAGTCCTTCGTCCCTGGCTGTACGTAGCGAGATCCCCATGTCTTGGTGCAGCCACTGCTACTTGGCACTGCGCATGATGTGCTCGGTGGTGCTGTTTGACAGGAGAGACCTGAAAAGGATCGCCTTTTTGTTTGTTTCGTGCCTCGGTCGATGTTGACTGTCTTGCTGCATGTGTCTGCCTGGACCCGCGCTGTCTGCCCGCTGTGCAGGTCTGCGACCAAGTGCACGTATGCAGGTGGCGTACCCTGTTGGAGCAAGGGATCTCGTAGACTCTTGTGAATGACGCTGCCAACCCAGAGGGCAACTCATCGGCACAACTCAGGGGACAAGGCCACCGGGACAACCACAGGACGAACAACCATCGGAACAACAATCAAGACAACCATCGGCGTGCGTAACTATATCGACACACGCGAGCGCGACCGCCGACGCACCATCCTGGGCGACCCTCCCCTTTCTCGAGAACGCCCGCGACCCGTCGACCCCATCCCCAGACCTCCGACGTCGCGATTCTTGCCAATTCGTGGTTGCCCAAAGCTCTCGACCCCTCCGCCTGGAGCGGTTTTCGGCGCGTTTGTTTGTTGGTGATGCCCCCGGGGCCAACCAAAGTGCCCCCCCCCCCCCCCTTCCCTCTGGCGCTGGAGCGGTCAACAGCAACGCCAGGGTCGAGCAGAGCGCGACGTCGGATGCCTGGGGTCACTCGCTTCAGGACCCCTTGCCCTCGATCGCAGTCGTCGTTTCCCCCCCCCCCCCCCCTTGGGGGGGGAGGGGGATGGGGAGGGGGAGGAGGAGGAGGAGGGGGGGAGGAGGGGGAGGAGGAGGGAGGAGGGGGAGGAGGGGAGGGGAGGGGGAGGGGGAGGGAGGGAGGGGGAGGGGGAGGAGGGAGGAGGAGGAGGAGGAGGAGGAGACGGAGGGCATCTACACGCCACCACCGTGCCAGGCCAGGACCATGCTGGTCCCTGGTATGGTGTTTACGCCCTCCTGGCCGGGGCCAGGAGGGTGTGCACACCACCCTACGAGCCCAGGGTGGCTTCGGTCAGGAAGGGTGGTGGTGGTGGTGGTGGTGGTGGTGTACAAAAGCCTCTTGCGGATCCTGCCTGTCCCCTCCTGGGCCGCCTGTTGGAACTGCGCCTCGCGGAGCGCCTCCTTCTCCTCGTAGTGACTTCCGTGGCAGATGCCCCCGACAAGCAGCTCCTCGGGAGACCCTTGTCACAGTGACGACGCCAGAAACCTCTCCTGGCGCCTGCCTCTCCTGAAGAAGGCTCCCCACACGTGGCCGAAGGAGAGGAGGTCAGAAGATCGCACCGAATCGCCGGCGCATCGGCGATGCGCCGGGGCATCAGGGACGTGCATCGAAGATGTGGCGCGATCCTCCTGCCCCATCTGCTCTGGCCCCATCTGGGCGGCCTGGACTGGAGGAGGAGGGGAGGGAAGGGAACGGAGGAGGAAGAGGAGAAGGAGGAGGAGCAAGAGAAGGATGGGGTGGAGCCACTTGCCCCGATGACTGGAAAATCTTGAGACGGCAAATCAGCATCTGGGCAGCCCGGACTCGGGGGCCTGCCTCCACGCTCCCACTTTCGAGATCACTCCCCAGAGAGAAGATGACGTGCATGAGGCGCAGTGGGGCTCGGACTCCGAGCTACTCCATGGACGGCGCTGGTGCAGGCACTGCTGGACGAAGAGCGGGCACGTGCAGGTGGATCGCTTCTTGCCTCAGCCCCGCCCCTGCGTGGCCTCCCAGCAGGAGGGCGGCTCTCGAGGTGGCCGTCCAGGGCCCTCCCCTCGGGAGGGCGGGGGCCGCAGACCCCGCCCCCCCCCCACAGCAGCCCATTCTTGCCCCACCGCGCGAGGAGAGTGCCCAGCCCTCGCTCCTCGGCTCCACGCGAGGGTGACCCTCGTCCATGGTGACCTTTGCTGCGCCGCTGCCTTGGGAGGGTGGGCCCCCAGCCAAAAAAAACAGCCTCTCGGGCGCCCGTCGACGGCGTTGGAGGGGCGCCCCCTGGCAGCCCCGGCTGGAAAAGCCAGGACCGAAGGCGAACATCGAAGCGCGAACGCGGAAGCGCAGGGTGTCTGGACCGAGGCCGATCCGCGAGGGGTGAAGTGCCCTGGTGTGTTTTCTCTGGCGCCCTGGCTGGTCCAGCACCAAGAGGTCACTGCACCGACCTTGCAGGCGTGCTGCAGCGGATTCTTGCGCGGATCCCTGCCAGTGCAAGCCCAGGGACGGCGAGCGCAGAACGAAGCGAATTTCACGCGGATTTGTTGGAAGTCTTCCTTCCTGCCCCCCAAAAGATCCGCACGACATACGCCTCGAAGGCTGGAACGAAATTTTCCAGGACGACCTGGGTCCAGACCATTGTCTTCCGAACGGAATCCGCTCTGCGATTGTAGAGGCCTCCTAGATCGGGTCCGAGTAGATGGGGTCGGAAGAATCGCGCCGCATCGCCGATGCATCGGCGATACATCGCCAATGCATGGACGATGCATCGGCGACGTCGGCGATGCATCGGCGCCATCGGCGTGGAGAAAGCCGGGCTCCACACCGAGCTGGCTCCGATGGTGGCCGCGATGGCTTTCCGCTCGCGCAGGCCCCGGAGGCGGACGGGGGCCTCTGGGCGAGCGCCGAAGAAACTCGCGAGGAGGTGGGCGCCCCGATGGCGTTGCTCGCCATCGCTCGGACGCCCATTCCCCGTGCATTCCTTGGACTTCGTGCGTGCACGTCTTGCCAGATGATCCAGGCTGCTCCTCGATGGTTCTCGCCGAGCAGACGCGCACGTCGAGGGGGGTCCCGCGGAGCAGGTCCTCCATCGCCGCCCCGCGCACGTGGCCCCCCACGGGCCAGGAGGCCCGGTGCGCCGGGGCCCCGGGGCTCTGGGCCGCCACAGCGTGCGTCGGGGGGGGACGCCCTCGTTCTCGCTCGCTTTGGCAGCCCTCCCCGGCCGCGTCGGAAATGGCCCAGAGAGCCGACCCGGGTAGGGGGCCAGATGCGAACCCTACCCCTACCCCCCACGATTTCTGAGGGGGGTGCCTGGTGCTCGTCCGCGAGCCCCCGATCTGCCATCTGCTGGTCGCCGCTGACAGCCCCACTTGCAGCGTCCGAATCCCGGATAGCGACGCAGTCCAAGACGCATGAAATGCCTGCGGGGGGCTTGCAAGAACGCTTGCTGCCCACCACCGCTTCTGGCCCAGGGCCGGACGAACGACCTGCTGAGGATCGCAGAAAGCAGGGTCAGGATAGCAGTGAAACGCCTGTGGGGGACGCTTGCAAGAACAGTGGAAAAGATGCCTGGGGAGCTTACAAGTTCGAGGAAGGAGCTTCGCAGGAGCTCACAAGGAGCTTCGAAGGAGCTGCTGAGAAGGCTTGCAACCTGTATTGGGAACGGGTAAGAAAAAGCTTGCTGGAACACGCTGCGAATTCAAGCAAGTCGCTAAGGAGATGCCTGCCCGGGAGCCTTGGAGAATGGCTGGCGTAGACCTGCCTGTCAGCTTCTAATCTAACCCAGGAGCTATAAGGGAGAAGGAGGAGGAGGAGGAGACGGAGCAGGAGGAAATGGAGGAGGAGGAGGAGGAGGAGGTGAAAAAGGTAAACAAGGCGCTGAGCGACGATGCAACGAGCCAGCAGTGGGAGCAAGCCTTAGACAGCTATGTGTCCGTTCCTTAAAAAAAGAATGAATGCTGGGCCAGAGCACCTCTTTCGTTGCCAGGCTTCGCCTGAGACGTCTTGCAAGGAAGCGTTGCCACGTGGTGGAGGGCCCCTTCAGCGGAGGAGGAAGAGGAGGAGGAGGAGGAGGAGGAGGAGGAGGAGGAGGTGGACGACGACAATAAGAAGGACGAGAGTTTACGAACCCTGGGCACCCGGCCCACCGCCGCCAGCCGCGTCCCGTCGGCGGCTTGTCCCCGCATCTTGCCTGGAGTGTTCCAGCGGGGGCCCAGGCAGAGGGGGTCTGGGCCAGCCCCCCGCTCAGATCTGGTGTCGCAGCAAGATCGTGATGGCTGCCGCCCGGCCCTGGAGCCGTCAGAAACTCTACCCAAGATGAGAAGCCGATCCCGGGGGCAAGGTCGAGACCTGAAGGGATCCACGCCGCGAAACATCACGACGCCGGGGGTCTAAGTCAACCTTCTTGCCGATGTCTGCAGCGAAACGCATACAATGGGCACGAGGGAAACAAGCGGTCCTGACGGGAGCGGGCCCTGGACCCCTCCTCGGGCTTTCCTGGGGCCACTCTCTCACACCGAATTGTTTCTTTGACGGCCTCGAGGCCCCGGAAGGGCCCCAGGAAGCAGAGACTGCCCAACAACCTCAGGGCCCCGCCTCCTGCTCCGCCGCCGCCTCCTCCGACTCTGGAGGGAGCCAGGTCGCAACGGGCCCGCCAGGCGGCAAATGATCACGCTGTCCAGGGCGAGTTGGGCCAGGCCGTGATGTGTTTCAGTCCTGGGAAGGGGGTCCAATTCTCGCGTAGTTTATCTTCATGGGGGAAGCCAAGCTCAAGGGATTCGGGCTTTCTGCATCGTGCTGCGCTTGTTGGAAAATTGCAGCTGCCCAGAGTTTGGTGCCGCTGTGCCTGCAGTCGGAGCTGATGGACGAATTGCCGCCCAATTGTCGTGACCCCTTTTCCTCGGGAACCTTCGTTTCCTGGAGAGCGGAAGAAGCTGGCCCACCTCCCTCTCCCTTCCGACCCCCTCTCGCCATCGCTCGGACGTCCACTCCCCGTGTTTTTTGTTCGGTCTCGCGCGTGGCTTTTTCGCCGAATGATCAAGGATGCTCCTCGATGGTCCTCGCCGAGTGGAAAAGTGCACACGTCCGAGCGAGGCCAGGCCTTGGAGGCCCCCATCCCCGCTCGCCGAGGGCCGCCGTCGCCATGTCCGCGCAGCTGGGCGAGCACGCCGAGGAGGCGGCGGAGCGCGCCTCGCCGGACCGAGCTGACCGTCGTCGTCGTCGTCGTCGCCGTCGTCGTCGCTGCTGTTTCCGCTGCAGCCGCCGCCGTCGTTGTCGTCGTTATCGCCACCGTCGTCGCCGCTGGCGTCGTGGTCGTCGTCGCCGTCATCGCCGTCGGCGTCGTTGTCGCTGCCGCCACCGCCGCCGCCGCTGACGTCGTCGTCGTCGTGGTCGTCGTCGTCGCCGTCGCCGTCGCCGTCGTCGTCTTCATCGTCGTCGTCTCAGGCGCCCCTTGCAAAGGTGGGCTCTTCCCCTGGCGCCCCCCAGGTGTTCAGCGAGACCAGCGCGGGGATGGTCCCCGCGGGTGACCCCAGAGGTCGAGATGATAGTCGTAGCCATTGCGCGTCGTCGTCACCGCCGCCGCCGCCGTCGTCGTGGTCGTCGTCGTCGTCGTCGTCGTCGTCGTCGTCGCCGCCGCCGCCGCCACTGACGTCGTCGTCGTCGTCGTCGTCGTCGTCGTCGTCGTGTCGTCGTCGTCGTCGTCGTCGTCGACGTCGAACCAAAACCCTCCACAGTGCCCCCCTGGCACGTTGAGGCGCGGAAAAATGCCAAGGCCTGTCTGGTATTTATATATATATATATATGTATATATATACATATATCGGAGGTGAGGGGGTGAGATCGAAGTGGAACGGAGAGCCCCCCTACCAGGAAATCGATTTCGGTTTCGTGTTCGTGAGTGCCGTGCGTGCGGGCGAGGCGAAGCTGCGTGGGCGGGCGAGAAGAAAGTCTCCTGTGGCTGAGGCGCGGCCGGACCAAATGTCTCCCTTCCGGGCGGCCGGTGGCCCGCGGTGTCCCGCCGGTGTCCCGCTGGTGTCCCGTGTGCCGCGGTGTCCCGCGATAATGATGATGATGATGATGATGATGATGATGATGATGATGATGATGATGATGATGATGATGATGATGATGCTGCTGATGATGATGATGTTGATGATGATGAAATGGTGATGATGATGATGATGATGATGGTGATGATGATGCTGCTGATGATGCTGATGCTGATGCTGATGTTGATGCTGCTGATGATGATGGTGATGCTGATGATGATGATGCTGATGATGATGAGGACGACGATGATGATGATGATGATGATGATGATGATGATGGAGTGAGATCGAGTGTGAGATAGATCGAGTGAGATCGATTGTGAGATAGATTGTGAGATCGATCGAGGGAGATCGATCGAGCGAGACCGATCGAGTGAGACGTTGGTTCCTCCCCCCCCCGAACCTCCTTATCACCCGAAGGGTGGTCATATAGGTATATATATACATATATATATACTTCCGGCATGGCAGCGAATGTAAACCCCAATTCCACGGGTGCCCACTCGAGGATGGTGCACGTCCCGCATGGCAGCAATTTTTTGAACCCCATTCCACGCGTGCCCTCTCGAGGATGGTGAATTTCTCGCATGGCAGGAAATGCCTGAACACTCATTTCATGCTCGCCCGCTCGAGGATTGCGCGCTTCCTGCATGGCTGCTACCTCCTAGGCCCCTCATCCCACGCGCACCCGCTCGAGAACCGTGCACTTCCCGCATTCCCAGACGCTGCTCCAGAGCGCTCCAGGGCCTCCCAATCAACGATCCCTCGTCAAAAACAATGGAAATGCGTCCTGAGCTTCCAAGACGGCCCGTACAGGCAACCAAGGACACCAAGATGGCCCAAGATGCCTCGAACACGGCCCAAGATGGCCCCAGTGCGGCCGAATAGTGATTCAAGAAGGCCCAACTCAAGAGGGCCCCAATTGGCCACAAGAGGACTCCCGACAGGGTCCGAAGAAGCCCTCATGTAACCCTTGGGCTTTTGAATGATCTTCGCACTCTCGCCCTGTCGGGCCGCCGTCAGCACAAGACGGCCCAAGAGGACTCCACGATGGCCCAGGAGGCACCCACGGCCAAGAGAGGACCTCCCGTGGGACCCAAGACTCTGGACACCCGAAATGGGTACCGAAAGAATGGGTACAATGCCCAACAACAAATGTTGTCCCAAACCAACAGCGGCCGCTGTTGGGCAGGCGGCCTCCTGTCTCGAATGGACACAGGCCGCGGCGGCGTGGACAGCGAACCCTGTTCAGAGTGAACAGGAGCTGCTGTTGGACACCGTACCCATTCTTTCCTTGCCCATCTCGTTCGTGCAGTGCCCCAGGAGCGCGGGCCCAGGAGGAGGAGGAGGCGGAGGAGAAGGAGGAGGACGAGGAGGAGGAGGAGGGGGAGGAGGAGGGGGAGGAGGAGGAGGAGGAGGACGAGGAGGAGGAGGAGGAGGAGGAGGCCGGAGAAGGCCCTTCGACAGCCAAGGCCGGCGCCACGACGGCCCCACGGCCTGCAGACACCCACCGTGCGGCCACGAAGGGCCTGGAGACGGCCCGAAGAGAGCCCCAAGCCGGCGAGAGAGGGGGCCCAAGGACGGCCCACGAGGACCCCAAGGAACACCCAAGACTGCCTCACAGGAGTCCAAAACAACCCCAAAACGGCCCCAACGGGTCATCGCCATCATTATCATCATCATCGCCATCATCATTATCATCATCATCATCATCATCATCATCAGCATCATCATCATCATCATCATCATCGTCCTCATCATCATCAGCATCATCAGCATCATCAGCATCATCAGCATCATCAGCATCACCATCATCAGCATCATCAGCATCATCATCATCATCGTCATCATCAGCATTGTCATCATCATCATCATCATCATCATCATCATCATCATCATCATCATCATTGTCATCATCATCATCATCGTCATCATCATTGTCATCACCATCATCAGCATCATCATCAGCAGCGTCATGACCGTCATCAGCATCATCATCATCAGCGTCATCGTTATCGTCATCAACATCAACATCATCACAGTCATCATCATGACCATCATCATCACAATCATCATCAGCATCAGCACCAGCATCATCATCATCCATAGGATCGCCAACGCCAGCGTCATCGTCATCAGCATCGCCATCGTCATCTTCGTCGATGTCGTCGTCCTCATGCGCATCAGCATCAACATCAACATCAACATCCGCATCAGCATCAGCATCAGCATCATCATCATCATCATCATCATCATCATCATCATCATCATTCTCATCATAATCGTTGTCGTCGTCGTGGTAGTGGTAGTGATTGTCGTCGTCGCCGTCGTCGTCACACCCATCATCCTTATGATCATCACCATCCTCACCACTGCTCTCGCAAGCCTGGAGTCACGAAGTGTCACACGCGACGGCCTCCCGCACCCCTTCGAGAAGACGCGAGCCGGAGAGCTGGGCTGGTACGGCGGCGGAACATGCCGCAGGCAGCTGGACATCTGAACGCTCTGGCTTTCCTTTTTCAAGGGGCCCAAGGACACACAAATAAATACGCACAAATAACTGGATCCCCAATATTTTCTTATATTTTCTGGGTTTTTGCCTTCCCCCCCACTTCCCACATTTCCCCATCTTTTCTGGGGAATCGACGATTCATCGTGTCTGTGTGTATTTTCCCCTCCGGACTTCTTCCGCCCTTGGAGGCCTCTTGGAGGCCTCTGGGGGACCTCCGCGCCCAGACCTCGGGGGGGAGCCCCGGGAGGGAGCTCCACGCAGACAGCCGACGTCGTGCTGTCTTCAAAATCCCAGCGTTTGCCAAACTTCGGCCTGCAGGGGGCCCGTAGGCCTGCAGTTTGCCTGCTTTGGCCTGACTTTGGGCCCTGTTTCGCCAGAGACGCCCTCCCAATTTGCTTCGCTTGCCTTGGTTTGCCGTGGTTTCGGCGCGGTTTCGCATGAGACGTGCTCTCAATTTGTTTGGTTCCGTTTTTTTTCGGCGCAGGTTCGCTTGAGACTCCCCAATGTGCTTGGTTTGTCCTGGTTCCGGCGCGGTGTCGCTTGAGACGTCTTCCCAATTTGCCTGGTGCCTCGCACACGTCGCTGGTGCAAGCACGCGGACAAGAACTGTTTGTACTCATCACACATACTGATCGACGTTCTGCACGACATTCTGCACTCCTGTGCTGCAGTATGACAGGCGAAGTGGGTGTGGACATCCGAAGCGCGGAGTGTGTTCGGCCACTGCATCTAGACGAGCGCGTTCCACTGTTCGTAAAGTAGCTACTGGCAAATTTCCTGGATCCGCCGCAGGGGATTTACGATCTATATATATATATATATATATTAAAAAAGGAGGCAGACTTATGTTTTTTCAGACGTTTGCGAGTAGGCACTGCGCAAGTAGTGGAACGCGCCCAGCGAATATCACATGGTGCAACCACCGCTCATATAATTTCTGCTGCCATGCGGCTTTGGACAACATGGCGTCGTCGGGAGAAAACCTGTCCCAGCCTGTAGCCCGGCACCTCCCTGGTGGTCCCTGAGGCCTCTTCTGCAGTCGACTGGAGAAAGAGCGCATCCGCGCGTGAGCCCCTCCCCGCAGCGCCAGATCCCCACCGGCTGTGCTGCCCGGCGACTAAGGAAATACCAAGCGTACGACAACGATCGTGCAGGCGGGAGGCACGGGAACCTTGCGGAGCCTTGAAAGGGAGAGCTGGGCCAGATGCTGCTACAACCGTCCTGCCACAAGAAGCTTCGGAAGTCAGGTTAAGTCGGGCGTGTCCCCCTACAGGGGGATTTTCGACGAAAAACAAGCAATACTCCAAACATACCCCAAAAAGGTAAAAAAACAAATACTAAAAAAATAGTCTCCATATTGTTTTTGAACTATTTTGGGGTATTTTTTTATTTTTTGTCGAAAATCCCCCTGTAGGGGGACAGGCCCGACTTAAAAGTAAGGGTCGTAACATGGATGCAGGGTAACAATGCAAGGCCGAGGGGCGTCAACGTAAAACGATTGCAGCGGCTTCCAGCCAACGAGGATTTTTAGCTAAGGATGATGATGAACCGGCCGCGAATAGGCAAATGCTCACACCCTTGGCGTCTCTCCCGTTGGCGTGCCCCAGTGCAACGCCGGCCACATCGCGGTGAGCATGGGCTAGCCTGAGTATGAGAAGCGAGAATGGGCCTGAGTGTGAGTGGCTATCCTTCTGTTTGGAGGCCACGCTGGCCATCATTCTTCCATCGAAGGGCCTTCTTTCTCCTTCACCTCGAAAACTCATTAACGATGAAAAGCGGAATATGTCGGAAATCTGTGCGGATTTCTTGTCCCGGCACCAGACCTCACTCGCCATCAGAAGACGGATCGGGACGAAAAACCTGCCACAGAAAAGAAATCAAAGCTCAGGGGCCGGCGACTCGGAAAGACTGCAATCTCTGATGTCGTGATTCCCCGCCAGGGAAATTTGGATTGTTAGATTTGAAGAACAATCCTCCCAACCCGCGCGCCCTGCATAGCGCGGCCGCCCGATCTCCAGGTCCAACTGGAGTCCCCCGAATGTCCTGCCATACCGCGGCCGCCAGCTCCCCAAGTCCACCGGGATTCCCCCGAGTACCTCGCCACCCGCGCCTTCGACGACCAAAACAGAACATGGCATAACACAGCATAACATAACGTAACATAGCATAGCAGAACATGGACTGACAGGACAGAGCATTCCAGAGCATAACATAACAACACAACACGCGCCCAAACAGAGCAATGCGTATGGCATACCATATCAGATTCTGGGCGAGCAGAACATAGCATAGTACTTCAAAGTATACATATCATACCATATCATAAAACGACATGACAAAACATGCCTCAACCTGTTATGGCATCACAGAGCATCGCGTAATTCATACAAGGGTAGAGCGCAAGCTAACATGATATATCACAACATTTCACACCTTACGATCGTTGTTCAAATGTTGCTATCGCCACGACAACGAGTCCAATATATCATTCAAGAATGCTACCCACTTGAACATGAATTCCATAACACAACAGGCCATACCATACTCGTCATACCACACCATAACACATCATGCATAACATACGCTAACATCGCATTGCGTAACGTATCATGGCAAAACATCGCATCACATAACAGAGCAATCCAACACACAACACAGCAGACTGTGACAGAGTAGAGCATAACTTAATCTAGCATCATAACACGTACCATAATATATCAAACTTGTCCTGCTCCTGCTGCCAGAAGGCGACGCAGTTAATACAACATCCAAGAATCCAGTACGGCATAATTCAAGGGGGGGGCGTCCTAACATACCAGCGCACAGCATGGCCGAACGCACAGAACATAACAAAACACACTATCACATACCAACACATGCCAGGCCATACCATAACACATCGTACTGTAACAGAACGAGTCATAGCAACCGACCGGAACATAACGTACCACATCATAACAACACATAATTCTTCCGCTACTGCTACCGCTACGACAACGCCGCAAAGGCCACGACTACTGCTACATATCGCTAAGAACACAACGCATAATACTCGCCTTTGAGCTGGCAGAATCGAACAACTACCGAACTACTATAACCTTCCAAATCAGTTTCCCTAGCACAGAGAAGGAACACATCCATCAAACACTAAGACATCTTATGAACAATTTGTACAAGAGACGGGATAATCAGAACCAAGCAGATATGCAATCTACTGTCCTACTCACAGAAAAAATCTGGTTGCAATCCCACAACAAGAGCATACTACCATAATGAGAAAGCCGTGGCTCAGAGTGTAGGAAAGGGCGC